ATAGAAAAGCTTTAAGAAATATGCCGTCTATCCGACTCGAGCTTCAAGCTATCGATAGCACGAGACTATAACAAATCTTTATAAACAATCAAGCAAAAAAGCGTCTTTTTAACGGTATAAATTAAAAAACACCGAGCTATCTACAAGTTAGCGAAGATGAACAACTTTTACGAGACGACGAGTACATTCGCGATAAAGGCATTTTTAAAAGTTATTAGCGAAAAATAGTTATTAACTTAAGCGTCGCTAGAGCTTACAAAAGTCATTCGAAACGACGAGCTGTTATTGCTTTAAAAGCGCACCTTTTACGACTACTTTAACTAATACGAAAGCCAAATCGAAGAAAAAACTAATAATCCGAACTCTAACCTCTTTAGTATATTCGCTACTTTCGGAGATTAAACGACTCGCAGCACTTTCGAAAATAACAAAGCTAACGATACTGCTCTTAAGCAGTCCGATAAACGTTCCGATAGCTTTAAAAGACTTGCTAAAGGTTTTAAGTGCTCGTGCTTTAAAAAAAGAAACTATTATTAAGACGCAATTAAGTGCAAGATCTTTCGCTATTGCTTTAACGGTCTTAACGAAAGTGGATTCGCAAAGCCGAACCGAAATAATATCGTCGCTATAAGAAAGAAGCTTTAAAAGCTTAAGTTCAAAGCGCTTCGAAAAGAGATTACGAAAGAAGATTAAGCATAAATTCAAGTCGATAAGATCGTTTTAAAAAGCAAAGAAAAGCAATCGAACGATAGCGATAAGTTAAAATACTTTAGAAAAGTGTTAGCAGCTATCATCGATCTTAAGCTCTTTAGTACGCTCGATAATCTTGTTCTTAACGGTCTTTATAGCACGGCTAATAATAAGCATCAGCTATTTAATAGCATTCTTTTCGATAATTGCGGCGCTACTCACTTTATTAACGATAAGAATCTTTTAATGCTAAAGTCAATTTAGCGCTTTCGCTTAACCGACTTTATCGAAGCTAGAACGAGTAGTCTTTTAGTCGTCGAGCGAAAGACTAAAGTCTTTAAAAGAGCTTTAAACGGACTAAATGAAGCTAAAACGGAAGATTTAAAGTTAAAGAACGTCGTTATCGTTAAAAGGTTTAATATTAATATTATTTCGAAAGCTCTTTTAAGCAAGGCTAGCGTATAATACTCGAGATATAACGCAACTCTTCGCTATAAAGAGGTTAAAGAAAGCGTCGTATTAAGAAAGTTAAAAAAGAAGTTCAATTTTACGTTTTTTAAATACAAGCTATTTAACTATTCTTTACTTTAATTAATTCGTAGTTCCTTTTGCTTAATGATGTTCTTTATAACTTAAAAGCGCTTGCAAATACGCTACAAATTCCAAAAGAGCAGTGTCTTTCGAGCTTTAAAAGAAGATTCATCGATACTTTAGCATTTACGGACAAGTCATTTAAGCAAAGAAGCCTTCGAAGCGCTGGCTTATAACGCTAAAAAGGTGAGACTTAAAGGAATCATTAGAGTTGAATATAAAGCATATGCTATTACGCACGCTTAACAAGTCATATTTCGCCGCACGTCAAACAACAAAGCAGCTAAGCTATTTTATAAAATCGCTTAAGATCTATTCGACTTTCTTAACGGTTTTAACGGAAGCAAATAATTATTAATAATTAAAAATAAATATAATAAGAAGCTATTCGGCTTTATACTAAAGGACAAGTTACAATTAACGGTTATGAAGGTGTTAAAAGAATTTAAAACATAAACGAGACGCAAATACGGTCTTTCAATAGCCGTTATACGCTATAATAACGATTCTTTAATAATCGCAGTTAACGTTATCGACTTTATTGAATATCAAAGATAAGCGAAAGAGGTTAAGATCGAGTTAAAGCTTCTATTATCTTTTAATTACGAACTTAATAAAAGAGCCGAAAGGGCTAAAAGAAAGGTGATAGAACGGTCTATTAAAATAAAAATAAAAGCAAGGCTCTTAAAGAAGCTTTGGCCTGAAACTACACTAGCTGCTATCTATCTTTATAACATGACACCGAGAGCGAAAAGCTTTATAAAGAGTCCGAATGAAGTGCTATAGCTTTAGTTCAAGCAATATTTTAAATAGTACGATCCGGCGATTCTTATACAGATCGACACCGATCTGAGACTAAATTGTAGCGGTTTGATTGCGTATAGCGCTCGTGCGTACTTAATGATCAAGGACCGAGAAGCTCTTCGTAACAAAAGAGCTTTTAAGGTCAAATCGAAAAGATATATAAGCTACTTAATTGGATATGTAACTTTTAACATATATAAAGTCTATGTTCTTGTGCTTTATAAAGTGATTATCATACGTAACGTAACGTTCGATAAGACTTAATTTTATCTTAAAGACGAAGAAAAATCGGTCGGCTAATCGATTAACGAGATCAAGAGCATCGTTATTAAATTAAAGGATATTAAGGACTTTAGTCAAATAAAGGACGCTTTATTTAATATAAAGAACGTTGCAGAAGATCGCTTAAAAGAGACGAATGCAGCTGATATAAAAGGTGAGCAGCCGTCAGACCTTATAGAAGTTGACTTAAAAAGATCTAGTTAAAGCTTAAAGAATGCGACCTTATCTAATCCGAGCAATGCACAAACGTCAAGAGCTTTAACTCCAATTAAAGACTTTATAAATACGTTTATATTAAAGGCATCTGCTTTACGAAACGATTTAATAAATCTTGATAATTCAAGCCACACCGCTAAACGTTTCGCCAGCTCTTTAGCTAAGAGCAAAGGCGAAGGTGCCTTAAGACTGCCAGAAGCAAAGAGGAGCATCGTAAACGGGCAAAAACCTGGCCTTAATAAAGGAGCGCGCAAATTATACTTTCAAGTTGTTATTTAAAGCCGGGGCCCGGAAGGCTAAGCTACAGGCCGATTAACGAGAGCTTTTACGTTAACAACCGGCGGAGATTCAAACCGAACAATCAAAGAAAAGCCTTTAGACCTTTTTAAAGCGAGCACTAATAATAAAAAATTAGATTATAAACACCTTAAACAAAATTCCGACTTTGATAAAGAGCACTCACTTATTAGTAGCCGTACTAGAAAACGCGCGAAGATATACGCAAATGTTAATAAGCTTTTCTTAAATAACTTTCGCGCCGATTCGAACCGCTATTCGCGCGTCTTAAATTTTATATCGACTTTTTAAGCTAATAGCGAACTCGTGCGCGAAAATAATAAAGATTACGAGACATTGCACGTTATTATAGCAGCTGCTACCTCGTCTAAGCTATTATTAAAATAGCTTAACCCGTAAGAACGAAAACATTTAAAACCTTTTACTTATTAAAAAGAGCTATAACGACACTTATACGGCAAAGAGTTTAAAGACGGAGCTTTTATAAAGCTGAATAATTTAAAGAAAAGGAATTGCTAAAAAGTGATTCTCGAAAGCGAAGCTAAGTCAAAACTTATACTTCTTAAATAAGTGTTCATATATAAGACTAGCTCGTCCGAAGAGATCGTAAGGTTTAAATCGAAGATTATGGTTAAAAGCGACTTTTAAGACGAATTTACTATCTATTCAACTTACGCTGCTACGTTAACAGCTAGATCGTTTAAGATAATAATAACTATAATAGCCGAATTTAATTTAAAAGTAAAACAATTCGACGTTATCAACGCTTTTATCAACGCTATAAGACATACGGACAGCGTTTTAGTTACGTATTATCTTTCTAACGGTTTTAAGCAAAAAGGTATGCTCGTAAAGGTCGATAAAGCTTTATATAGACTTAAAGACTCGCTAGCTTTATAGTATTTCGACTTCATAAGCACACTCGACAAATTAAAGTTTATATTACTCGGTAAAGAACCGTGTATTTTCACGAATCTAAATAAGACGGTCTTTATAGCGTTTTACGTAAACGATATTCAAGTTATATACTATCACTTTAATCTTTTTAAAGCGCAAAAGATTATTAACGGTTTTAACAAAGCGTACGAGATCGAAGCGATAAAAGATATTAAATAGTTTCTTAATGTGAAAGTCGCTCGAGACCGTTAGCGAAGAACGCTAACGCTTATATACGACGCTTATATTAAAAAAATAGCTAAGAAATTCGAACTTACGGACGGACGCTGCTTAGCAACTCTATTACCGTTTTATAACTTAGTTAAAAATAAGAGGATAGCTTCGCGAAAGCAAGTGAAAAAGTACTAAAAGAAGGTTAAATCCGTATTATATATAGCGATTATATTACGCTTAAATATAGCTTTTGCAGCCTCTTAACTCTTTCACTTTAGCACTAATCTAAGCGCGGAGCACCTTCGAGCTATAAACTAATGTTTGCGATATCTATTTAGCTCGCGCTTTAAAAGTATTCAATACAGCTAATTCAGCAAATCAAAGCTAATAATAGCCTCTGACGCTTTTTACGCCGATAACGAAGAGACAAAGCGATCTTTTTAAAGGTATATTATATTTTTGTTCGAGGGTGCGATCTTTTAAAAAGCTTTAAAGCAAGATATAGTCATTATATTATCTATTAAAGCGAAGCTTTTTAACATGGCCTTCATAATAAAAAAGACTATAGCGCTTTAACGTTTTTTTAAAGAGCTGCACCTTCGTTTTACGGCGCTTTAAGTAGTTTACTATGATAATCAATAAATAATAAAGCTTATAGCTAATAAGAAAGAGCGTATCTTTATTAAGCTTCGCTACGTCGATATTCATAATATATAGCTGCGCTAAAAGCACTTTAAAAAGAGCTTTCAAGTTTAATATCTTTTTATTAAAAAGATACACGCTAACGGTCTTATAAAGAACTTGACTCGATAAAAGTTTAAGAGCTTTATCAAGCTTTTAAATTTATAAAACGCTCGCGCGTTAATCGAGAAGCTTTAATAGCACGCATATGCTATTCATTTATTACATTTCATTTTTTTTTTCATTTGCACGTAATTTAAAAGAAAACATTTATTTAGCAATCTTAACCGTCATTTTATCTTATCTTATACGCTTTTACTTTTCGCCTTTTATAATAAAAGATCGACTAAAGCTTTTAGTAATCTTTTTACTTTAGCTCGGCGCTTTATAAGAGTCATAGCAACGGCGGGCGCCGCCGCGGGAACGGCAAGCGCAACGATTAGCGCAAAAGGAGCGACGATAATAAGTGCGACGAGAGCGACGGGAGCTGCAGGAGCGACGAGAGCAGCGGAGGCGACGGGAGCAACAAGGGCGGCAAGCGCAAGAGCTGCTACAGCAGCAGATTAGAGCCTTTGCATAAAGTCCGAGAGGAAGTTCTGGTTAAAAAGAGCTGCTTAGATTAGATTATTTCGAAAGTTAAAAAGCTTAACTTACGAAGAAGTGATATACTCGAAGCGCTCCGAATCACCGGATTACGGTTCGCTACTATAAGACTATTCAATCTAATAAAGGCCATATTCAAATTGAAAGTCTTAAAAGCAAGAGCAAAACTTATAAAGCTATCGAGACTACTTTTAAAACCTTTACTTTTATTCGCTAAACCGCCCGGACCATTAGCAGTACTTCTTGAAAAAGCAGCATCTAAGGCGAGCTGTTATCGCACAGCATTTCGGAGACTTCGGCGAACTTTTTATATAGCATTATTGTCCTTAGCGCTTACGAAGTTATTAAAAGCGGTGTTAGCAGCGGCAAAAGCAGCGGTGCAATTGCTATAGCTACTTTTAATACACCGGAGACAGCGAATGACGCTCGTATCGCAATTATAGCAATCTTTATTAGACTTCGATGTGATTTTATTATTAATGTACTTAATGCATTTTAAGGCTTTAACGGTCGTTAGCATAAGCAAGCGCTTAATAAAAAGGTTTAAGAAAGAAGGCGAAGCTTCGGGAGTAAGAGTGCGTAATATAGCCGCCGCAGCCGCCGCAGCTGCAATAGCAGCAATAGCTAAAGCAAAAAGAAGATTCTCTTAATAGTTAGTATAAATATATTAATCTGTTAAAAGCACTTACTCTTAGACGGCTTCGGCCGCGCTTAACGATTTTATTAAATTAAGTTACTTGCTTAAAAAGCATTATGTAAATAGATAAAAGTTAAGTGTTTATTATGATAGAAAAGAACGCGCTTCTACTTATATAGCAACGCGACAAAGACAGCGTTAAAGACTTCCGCTACGTAATAAGACCGATTTAAAAAAGAATTGCATTCTTAATTGACACTTAATCAATAATAACAACCGCTATTTGTTTGTTTAAACTGCGATAACAATCTCTTTTGTTTATATCGAGTTTAAAGAGCTTAATCACTTATTTTTTTTTCTTTTTTGTTTGCTTATAGCTTAATAGCTACGCTGCTGACCTAAAGGGTATGTTATGCGGAATAAGCATAGTTCTACCCAAGCTATATATGACATATCATATGACCTCGCTTAATAGCGCCCTTAGCACACTAGAGCTTTTAAGTACATATACATAGATCTTGACGAGCTTTTTAAAAAGAATATACGAAGCTTCATTTAATCTACAGAATCTCTTTTTGATCTTAGTGCTGATAAGCACTACATTTTATTACTCGAAGTTCGTTTTAATTTATTTTTTCGATTAAAGCTTTCGATACGTAATTAACGTAGTTTAATTAAATTATAACGGCGAAAGATTAGCGTGATTTATTAATAACTTTTTATCGAAAGGTTAGCGGCATGCGTTTTAAAACGATCGTGCAAGCGTGCTTTATAAAGCTGATTTTATTTTTTAAAGTGCTATCGTTTAGTAAAGCGATATAGTTATTAAAGAAGATTGCTTATCCGCAAAGCGAATTCTAAAAGGCGTTTATATTTAAGAAAACATTTTATTTCGTGATAACGGATATAAAAGTAGCGAGATTATTAATTATAGCGAGAAGTTAACGTAGCGCAATATTCTTAAAAGCATTTAAAGTTTTCGATTTAAATTTAAAAGCTTTTTATTTAACGGTCTTTTTAAAAGTTGTATCGTAAGTATAGCTTTTAAGCTAAATAGCTAAGCTTTTGATTTAGCTTTTTACGCCGTAAAGCATTAAATAGTAATTTAAAACTTTATCTTTTATTCGTGAACTACGATTTACGAGTCGTTTAACGTTAGCGTCGTGCTTAATCGCAATTACTCGAGCATTATTATTGCATTTAAAAAGCTAAAAAGGTTTCGGGTAAGCGATGAGCTTATAATTTTCGTTTCGGCGATTAAGTAAAGCGGCAAAGTATAGCTTATAATAGCTTCGAAAGACTTGCTAAGTCAAAGAGTGCATTATATTAAAAAATGCATTAATCGAGGCTCCTTTTAAATTATTAATTTAAAAGTGATGCAAGTATATCTAGATCTTTTTATTTATAATAATAAAAAAGATTTAGTTGCCGTGCTTATCGTCTAAAAAAGAAGCTTTTAATATAAGCTAAACTTTCGTATAGCTACTCGCATTTATAGTATTAAAAAGGCTATTTTTCCAAGCGGTACTTATTAAGCTAATGCTTTAATTTAGCTTATTAAAAGCTATTAGCTTGGCTTTAAACTTAAAAGAGCTTAAGCTAAATATTCTTTTAGTTAAAGTATTGCTTTTAATTTTAATAGCGAATATCGATTAATTGCTTAAATAAAGTATAAAGTTATTAAAAGCGTTAGTTCGATAAGCTTCGATAAATCGATATAAATTAAAACGGATTATTATTATTATAAAGCCTTTCGTAGTTAGCTTAAAGTATTTAGCGTATTCGAAAGTATAAACTTCGCAAAAGACTTTATTTAATAATTTAATAGCGGACGATAAGACTTTGCGGTTAATCGTCGGTTTCCTTAAATTTTAATTCGAAAGAATTGACCGACTTGCTGTAGCAAGTCGGCACCACCAAGGCGGGACACCCAGCAAGGCGGGACAGTAAAATTTGCTCCTTTTTAATAGATAAAAAATCAACCAACTATTATAGATTAATTATTTTTGTATCAAAAGATGCACCGTATTGAGTTTGATACTAATCAATTAATCGAATTTTAATTCCAAGTTGTTATTCCTTTATTATGTTGAGTTAAAGTAATGAAAATAGTACTTTTGATCTTTTTTTTTTCGATTTTACTATTGAGTATATATCAGAATTGCCGCGTATATATAAGAATAAGCGAAGAACACGAAAATCGGACTTTTATTTAAACCTATCAAAAGAATACGTGCATCACTACCAACTTTTATTTAATAATTAATACCTTTAGTAATATAATATATTAAATCATTTATTTTCGATCTATGTGACGTTTTTTTGAATTAAGGTTGTGGTTATTAAGATATTTGCAATAAACAAGTAAATTTGAATTATTTAGGACAGTTTTTGACCGTTTTTTCATTACATTTCAATGTATTAGATTACCACAAATAAATGGATTTTTATAATTTTAATTCAAGTTTGTAAAGAAAAATTTTCTAAGCATACCAGGGCAAAGGACCAAGTTCTCTATAGTGTCACCAACGGGGTAATTACTTATTAGTATATTATTAAATTAGATTTTTATAAAATTAATAATTAGCCCGTTGATAATATTATATCGGACTTAATATTTTGCTAAATATCAAACTTATTAAATAGATCGTAAAATACAAGTAAATATATATAAAAGTATTATTATATTAAAAACTATCGAGTTTATAATTTATTATAAAGG